GAAAAATATCTTTCTATGTTGTATTGAAGATAGGAGCCAATTTTAATGAATCTATAAATAATGAAGGAGAACGGCTGAGAACATTGGTAGATAACCTTTCTTTATGAAGGCAACAAAGAAAATGTGATGGTTATCAAATGGCTGCAAATCAGTCTCATATATTCCCCCTTGATATACGAGGGAACGTTGCAAACTTTCGCACGCAGCAGCAGATTATTTTGATTGGCCCTATACTTTGCGTTTATACATAATCGCTTGATTGACAACATTTTTGGTAAAAAACACTTGTGATCCTGCAGCATTATTAAAATTTACATCAAAATCACCAGACTGCATTCAAATCATGAAGATATTTTTATTGCAAGATGCTTTTTTTCTCCCTGGCTTTACGCTAAGCGGCCGCGTGCTGTCGCTCCGCGTCTGCGCAGCTTTCCGCAGCACGTGTTGTCGTCCGGTTGGGTTTTGCCGGCGCTTGTTATAGCCACGAGGGGAATTTTTCTCCCGTGCTGTTAAACCTGCTTTATTAACTAAATTCGTACAGGAACTCGGTCCGAATAGAGATTCGTTTCCCTTTTGTTTAGAGATTCGTTTTTTAGAGATTCGTTCCCTTTTCCCTTTTGAAATATAAAAACTGAGAAAGACTAATCCGTGTCGGGCCTCCCCAAAGGTTAGATCTTTCACATATATATTGTGCTTAAAATAGGGTGAAAAGATTCGTTGAATTGCATATTTATGATGGCTATATTTTGAGGTGCTTAATAAGTCATCTCTCTATCCCAAGAGAGTGAGTGGGGATCGGGGTTTTATTACGTACCCAGATTAAAATTTCTGCTAACGCCATTTACTGCCGTTATCGCGCTTTAAGCACCTACTGATTGCCACAGTACCACTGCTAACAAATGCAGTGACGCTTCTAACACATCACTGCTGATGTGCAGGCATTCTTGATCACGTCGTCGAACGGCGCTAGTCAACGTCATCATGGTGCACACCCTAACAAAATTTGGGGTATGCTTCAGCTTCCGCCTAAGACAGTGGTTCCCAAACTTTTTCAGGCTGGCGCCCCCTTTGGCTCCCTAGTGAATTTCTAGCGCCCCCCACAGACACATAATAAAACTTACGCCTCTTTCTTGAAATTAAGAACGCTGCAATTTTAAAAGATAAAGGTTAAACACAATTGTGTATATCACGAATAGAACCGCATTTAGTGAATCAATATGTTTTTCAGCTATTTTAACAGTTTCAGCACTAGAAACCTAGGACATAACGGGCAAATTTACGGCCGGACTCGTGGCCGGTCTCACGACCAATCTCCAAATTCAATTATAAAGTAATATCTCCCAAATTAATGAACGCAGCTCAATGAAACCTGGAACATGTATTCATCAGAACCTAACGGTGATATTTAGCTCGTGAAATTTTTTAAATTTCACCTTCATTTGTGAGTGATATTGCGATACAGGCCGAAATTCGTAGAGATCAAAGAATTTCTTCCAAACTACCGAACAGATTTGAGCGAAATTTTGGATATACATTCCTGACTACCATGCAAACGGCGATTTTTTAGTTTATAAAATTTTTCTATTTTACCTTCGTTTGCGAGTTTTTTTTTAATTTCACCGTCATTCTTTATTTCACACTTCCTTATATTCGGTCCTTATCGCCGGATAGGATAATTTGTCGCTTAAATTCGCGGCGATAAGAAATTTCTGCTAAACTACTGAACAGATTTCAACGAAACTTTATATATAAATACCTAACCTCCCAACGGTGATGTTTAGCTCATGACAATTTTTCTATTTTGCTTTCGTTTGCAAATTATACAGATATAGGAGACACGACCGGCTTTTCTAACGGTCGTTTTAACCAAGATCCGTTTACGTATAGCCGTATAACTCGCAAACGAAGGCAAAATAAAAAAAATTGTAACGAGCTAAACATCACCGTTACTGAGGTTAGGTATTTAAATACTAAGTTTCGTTCAAATCTGTTCAGTAGTTTAGAAAAAATTTCTCATTGGTGCGAATTTAAGCACGTATTGTTGTTTAACTCACGAATGAAGGTGAAATAAGAAAAAAACTCGCGAACGCAGGCACAATCGAAAAAATTTTCACGAACTTAACATTACCGTTCGTCAGTTAGGACTGTGAATTCAAAATTTCGTTCGAATCTGTTCATTAGTTTAGAAGAAATTCCTTGATCACTGTGAATTTCTGCCCGTAATGCCATATAACTATGGCAGAAACAAACGATGGCAAAATTCAAACAATTTTCACGAGCAAAATATTATCGTTAGATCCTAATGAATACGTGTACCAAGTTTAATCGAGTTACGTTCATTAGTTTGAGAGATATTCCTTGATCATTGAATTTGGAAATTGGCCGTGAGACCGGCCGCGAGTCCGGCCGTTAACTTGTCCGAGACATATACCCAGGAGAAGTTGAAAAAACAGATCTGGGTGGAAAAACCATCGCTGGGAGTCATGTGCTGCACGTGTTGTGTACAAATCGTCAAACGTTCGAACTTCTGACATCGACTTCGGACTACCGCCCCCTATCGCCTCCCTACCGCCCTCTTCTTCCTTATTGCCCCCCAAAATCTTTCCACCGCCCCTAGGGGGGCGATATCGCCCACTTTGGGAACCACTGGCCCTAAGAGTTGCTATACTCGAGTTAAAATTATTCCGGGTCTGCTTGGCCACACGATCAGAATCAGCGACTAGTCAGAATCTCCGTGCTAACTTTATAGTTCCCCGGGAGTGTGGAAAGAGTTGACTTGACCAAGTCCACCGTGCCTGCAAACTGCCCAGGGACTGCACTTCAAGCCCCGAGCAAAAGTGCAGACGCCTCCCGGACGTTCATGAGCAGTGCATGCAAAACTATATATTTACAATAAAACAGTTTATGGCCGCTCACGTGCGTGCGTAGTACGTGTTTGCTTAGTTATTCGTCGGTATTCGTTCTCGATTGCTTTAATTTGCAATTTAAGCAGCCACATGAACTTCAAAGTTGCATTGCCTTTCTTCTTAATGCTCTATAATATAAGCGAATCAATAAATTTACAATTTTGATTTAATGTTGGGTCGCTGGGATCAAGATGGCTGCGTGTGGTCAGCTCTTCCTCTTGCTGCGGAGAGGAAGGGAGGGGCGACTTTTTTTTACGCATTGGCGGGCTCGGCCAGACCCAATATGCCCCTGATACGGAATTCAATACGAATTGCTCAGTGGCCGCCATAGTAGTTACCAAACTCTCGTGGCTGTCTGACTTGGGGTCGGAAAGTTGACGAGAAAGCGGTTATAGAGAAGCTGATTTACGTGCTTTCCGAGTCCTGGGCGTTGCCTATTTCAGAGTCGGACCCGCTTCTAAATTTTGTTAGGGCAGACACAGGTGGTGAAGAGGCGCCGCAAGGATGCCAGCAGATCAGCAAGCGGCCAACCGCACGCAACGAGTACGCGAAGGCACTGCGGATGATAGCCGTTAAACAGCGTGGCCGCATAAACCAAAGTCGTTCACATTTGTATGTTCATAACTCGCTAAGGCCGCCGGATCCACACACTACTGCCTGGCACGTGCCAGTCAAGGTCCAGTCACGTATTATTTATTGCATCTCTCATTCTTAGCATGGCAGGTGTCTTGCACGGCAGGTGTGAATGCTTCTATATAAATGCATTGAAGAACATTGGACTGGACCGTGACTGGCACGTGCCAAGAAGAATTGTGCGAACCAAACTTCTTAAAGTAAAAAACATGGAAATTGCAATAATTTAATGTCTTAACAATTATTTAAGGACGTATAATATGCTTGCGAGATAAAACATTTCGTTACTCGTGCTCCGTCCACATAAAAATAATCACAATCGAACCGCTCTAAATGAGGTTTGTACCAGTTTATACGTACGCCTTCTGTTGTATATTTACTTTTTAGTGTATTTTGCCATATATGGGAAAAATGCACTATTGTGCTCGCCATGTCCGTCTGTCTGTCCGTCTGTCCGTCCGTGACTTCCCGTTTTCGTCGACGAGAAAATGCGCTCTCTGTCACTACCTGCAGTGAGGACTGAGTTTTATTTTTTCTTAATATGAAAAATTAGAATTTTTTTCTTCATCCCATCGTTAGGCATGGGTCTGCAAGTAAACTTGCTGGCAGTTAGACATGGCGGTGGAAACATACATTATATTGATGCTCCGGAAGGATGTATGTAAAGCCAACCCTTCCTATACTCCCTATTCATAAGTTTAGGTGTTCTCTTTTTGTTTTTCATTTAATTTATTTTTGATTAAAATGCATGTACGCGCTTTCTTTGATTAGAAGAGGGCCGACTCCAGGGATAAATTTGGGCTTAGCCTGCGCGTGCGGCACGGCCACCTTGACTTTTGAGCTTCGGCTTATTACAAATATAACGTTACTATTTGTTCCTAACCTCGTGAGAAAGCTTAGTTCTTTCTAAAAAGTTATTCGTTATTTCTTAAATCAACCTTTCCTTCCGCTCTAAATTATTTCCCTTTAAATGGCCTCTTGAAATTACCGCTTTCCTGCTTGATGGTAAAAAATTTTAAGGTGGGAGCGAGGTTGTTACTATGCTGAAATAGTGTAACATATCTCAAGGCTCGTCTAGCTTATCATTTGAATTTTATTCATTTTTACAGCGATTTCTATTTTGTGTCTATAGAGTAACCGCGAATCTGATGGTATACATCGTTCAATTTTTGGAGGGCTCTCAGCAACACCTAATATACAATTCAAAGATCCTTCTTTTCTTATTGTTCATGATGTGTAAATTTCTTGCTTTTATTTATGAATTTATCCACGTATCAGGTTCTAAAATAAAAGTTTAATTTATTAACTGATTTTTTATCAAACCTAACACTTCTGCACGAGTCATATCACATCGACCGGGAACTGCGGTCAACGTGATATGTAAACTGCCATGTTGGCCGTAGATAATATATGCTGTTTTGGCTTGGAAATACTAGAGCCTTGGCAGGAATAATTATAATATAACTAGTAGCACTTTATTGAACTTTATCATTAAATAAAGATTCTAAATACTATTTATTGGTTGACATCAAATGTATTTAATTAATTGACGCGTGGAGGCAATGGATGGCTTTCTTGGGGGTTTTGTAGGGTCGGCTCACAGTCGTGGAGGGATAGTAAGGGTTGACGAGGGTTTAGGGGTTATGACGAGAGTTTACTGGGTTTCTTATGACCCCAACAGGTCATTTAGAGGGCTATGGGCTGCGAGGGACCCTAACCTCGGTTGCACACGAGTCTGGGGCAGCAGGCGGGGTAGGGCAGCGACTTGTTAGTGACGACCCTGCAGTTCGTCGAAGGCGGGAACCCCGTCAACCCGCACCTGCAACACGGGGAGAGTAATACAGGGTCACCCTGGTAAGGTTATACAGGGTTGTCTTAGTAGGGTTATATTGTGTTACCCTGGTAGAGTTATACAGGGTTGTCTTAGTAGGGATATATGGTGTTTAGGTAGGGTTGTACAGGTTTACCCTGTTAGGGTTATACGGGGTTACCCTGCGTGGGTTATACAAGGTCTCCCTATTAGGGTTTTGCAGTGTTACCCTGGCAGGGTTTTACGGGGCTACCCTGGTTGTATTATGCGCGGTTACAAAGCTAGGGTTATGATTAGTTTACCGGACGTTTTTTTTTTTTGCTTAACCTGGTAGGGCTTTAGCCTGGAGAGCTATACCCTGGTAGGGTATAGCCCTTTGCTGAACCTCTGCGGTGGCTCAACCACAACGCAATTACTGGTATAGCATTCATATCGTCACTCTACTCCGTCCGTGGCCTAGTTGATGCTGTTTTACATAATGTACGACTGGCCGAGGACGACAGTTTGCAGATGGCGGTGGATGAGTGGCGCAATGGGAAATGCAGCTAGCATCCTAACAGCAGTCAGAGAAAAGTTCGACGTGGGCCCGCTCCTCGCTCGCGTCACAGCTCAGTGACCCTCGGAGTCGGTGTAGGCCACCATCAGAGGCGTTAAGGTCGGGGCCCTGATCATTGACATGAAACCATTCCCTGTTTTTAATTAATAAAATACAATTAATTCCTTTTTGTTTGAATGGTGAGTGTGGGAGGCCCTTAAAAAAAATTACTGGATAACGTGGAGGAATGGACGAGACAACTAAATTAAGGCAGTGCAGTTGACGTGACTAATCTCACCTATGCCTTAGCTTTTACCTCTGTAATACACTAGCTTTTGCTGCAGAAGGTAGAATGTTATGGCGTTCGGTGGTGCGCGCTTAAGTGGATCAGAGTAGTGGTAAGTCGTCAACTTCAGACAGACCTGGATGACCTCCAGAGGTGGTCAGAACTGTGGCAGTTCCAATACAACGTTATAAATCCCACTACCCAAAATGCAAAGGCATGCATGGAGGCCGAAGCAATAGAAGCCAAACAACTAAATGTCATTATCAAGAGCAAATCAGATTCTTGGGCTAGTATGGAGGTCGTTTGACTATATCGACACGAAATCTTTTACTAATCTATTCAAGGGCCAGGTGAGGTTGCGCCCCAATGGAAACGTTGTTTGTTTAAATCTTCACAGAGATGACGGGGCTCATCTGGAGGACATCATCTAGCCTGTAGCCACGAAACTGATACCAGACATCGCGGCTCTGGGGTACGAGGAGAGCGACATGAGAACACTAAAGCTGCCAAACGCGGAGTATAGCGGGCAAAAGGGGAACCTTCGAAGTTTACAAGATGGCCCATAGTTCTAGAACACACAGGACGAAAGCTGAATACCTAGCAGCTCGGAGGAGAGAGCAAGAGGACGCAAGTATTGGCACAAGAAGCATCCTGACTGCTGGAATATCAAAAGGGCTAGGAGTGATGGACATGCGGAATGGCTTGCCGGAGCTTGTAGAGGAGGCGCCCTACTGACCAACTTCAAAAGCATGTTGGACAGGTGCTTGGCCACTAACCAGTACTCTACTAAGTTCCACTAAAGCCATCCTATCTCAGTAACGGAGTCCCATTGGGCCAAGGTGTGGGTTGACGGGGAAATTAATTAAGTGTAGTCGCAGCGGAATGGAGAGCAATCAATCCGTTCTTAGTGATTTCTAGCTTTCAACAAGCATAGAGCCTTCAACGAAGATCAACCAGTATATCTATGTTCAAGTTTCGTTCGCAGCTTGCTCATTTCATGTTCAATTCATATTCAGACTGTTTACACCCGGTTGCAGACTGTTAATTACACCCTGTTCGCGCTCTGTTTACTGTTCACCCACCCTGTCTCACTGGCGAACAGCTGCCGGCCGGACCGCCTCTCGCAAGAGAGCTCGACGGACCGCCTCTCGCAGGAGAGCTCGACGCAGCGGCCCGGCAGGGACCTCTTCTCGCCCGGCCTCAGCGCGACCCGGTAGTCAGAGAAGTAGCACGACCCGGGGAAGGCTGGGGTCAGGGGGATGGCATGAGGGGAAGATTTGGAGCAAAGGGGAGAGTGAAGGGAGATGGAGGAGCATAGGGAAGAGGGGAGATGGTGGGGCAGAGGGAAGATGGAGGAGCAGAGGGAAGATGGAGGGGCAGAAGGTCAGTGAAAGCCATCTGTTTGGGTACGAGTACAGGAACTGCGGCGAATAAAATATTTTCAGGCAAAATTGTTCAAAATTGTAATTTATTACTGACATCCATCATTTTTCTTGAATAATGATAAAAAAAAGTTTATTCATGTTTTTTTCATGGAAATTTGGTATATCGATGTTGAAGATTATGCCCGTACATTATCGGTTTTATCGCTCGATCGTCAATTGCTTTAATTCTGTCAGATTTTCCGAGTGGCTGACTTCAGCGGCGCGTATGAATAAGTTCTCGCATGAATAGGTTACGGCAAAAATGATACAGAGAGAGGGCTGTAATGAAACACTCGTACATTTCACATTAAGTTGGGAAATTCAAGTTCACATCCCACGTTGACAAAAAATCTCTCGTACATGAAAAAGGTAATCTGAACACAATCAAAATTGCGAACCTATCAGTTAACATCACTAAAATCTTCTACTTTTACCAGAAAACGTTGATTCAGAACAGAGCGTGAACAGGCGTGAACAGGCGTGAACAGAGCGTGAACAGGCGTGAACAGAGCGTGAACAGGCGTGAACAGGCGTGAACAGGCGTGAACAGGCATGAACAGGCGTGAACACGTGTGAACAGAGGGTGAACACGCGTGAACAGGCATGAACAGGCGACAACAGGGGTGAACACGCGTGAACAGGCGTGAACAGACGTAAACATAATGTAAATTAACAGGAGTGAACATAGCGTGAACAGGCGTGAACAGAGTGTGAACACACACACGGTTTGAGCAGAGGAAGAAGCAGTATTTACCATGAACTGACAAAATAAGTGGTCGTATGTCGTGATGCTCTAAACTGCGGTTATCATGGCTTAGTAACTCTGTTCCAACTTGTAACGTTGTAGTAACTGAACCTGGTAACCCTGTTGTAAACCTACTAATGCAACTCTTTTGTGCCCTACATTGAATAACACAGCTGTAAATATGCAACCCCTTGTTAACTTTACCTACGCAACCCCTTGTTTACTTTACCTGTGCAATTCCTTGTTACTTTTACCTATGCTATGCAACCACTTGTTAACTTTACCTATGCAACCCCTTGTTAACTTTACCTTAGCAACCCCTTGTTAACTTTACCTTTGAAACCCCTTGTTAATTTTAACTTTGAAACTCCTTGTTAACTTTACCTATGCAACCGCTTGTTAACTTTAATTAACTTTACCTACGCAACCCCTTGTTAACTTTACCTACGCAACCCCTTGTTAACTTTACCTTTGCAACCCCTTGTTAACTTTACCTATGCAACCTCTTGATAACTTTACCTATGCAACCCCTTGTTAACTTTACCTATGCAACCCCTTGTTATTTTTACCTACGCAACCCCTTGTTAACTTTACCTTTGCAACCTCTTGTTAACTTTACCTATGCAACCCCTTGTTAACTTTACCTTTGAAACCCCTTGTTAACTTTAACTTTGAAACTCCTTGTTAACTTTACCTATGCAACCCCTTGTTAACTTTACCTATGCAACCCCTTGATAACTTTACCTTTGCAACCTCTTGTTAACTTTACCTTAGCAACCCCTTGTTAACTTTATCTATGCAACCCCTTGTTAACTTTACCTTTGAAACCATTTGTTAACTTTAACTTTGAAACTCCTTGTTAACTTTACCTATGCAACCCCTTGTTAACTTTACCTACGCAACCCCTTGTTAACTTTACCTATGCAATCCCTTGTTAACTTTACCTATGCAACCCCTTGTTAACTTTACCTATGCAACCCCTTGTTAACTTTACCTATGCAACCCCTTGTTAACTTTACCTATGCAACCCCTTATTAACTTTACCTTTGAAACCCCTTGTTAACTTTACCTTTGCAACCCCTTGTTAACTTTACCTATGCAACCTCTTGATAACTTTACCTATGCAACCCCTTGTTTACTTTGCCTATGCAACCCCTTGTTATTTTTACCTACGCAACCCCTTGTTAACTTTACCTTTGCAACCACTTGTTAACTTACGAAACCCCTTGTTAACTTCACCTACGCAACCCGGATTTGTCATTTCCTGGCCAACCCTGCTGTAACCCTACTCATTCTGCAGGTGCCCTACAGCCCCACCGCCACCCCCGGGCTGCAGGGTTGCAGTCGGCAATCCCAGAAGTTTTTACCCTGCCTGCTGCCCCACGGTCGTGTGCGGCAAACCCTAACCCTGATGGCACGACCCTACGACCCTGTCAGAGGCTGCAGAACCCTCGAGTATAATGAAGTGTATTCCAGATCATGAAAACCTCGGAATATTAATTATATATACGGCTTCAGCGTCAACTCACCGATAAAAATGGACTTTATTTTTTAAACTAATCCTGAATAACCTTCACTGTCAGTTATTAACCCTCACTAACCCTGAGTAACCTTCACTGTCAGTTATTAACCCTCACTAAACCTGAGTAACCTTCTCTGTCAATTATTAACCCTCACTAACCCTGAGTAACCTTCACTGTCAGTTATTAACCCTCAATAACCCTGAGTAACCTTCTCTGGCCCATCACTAACATTTGTTATCTATACATAACTCACCCTCAAAATTACCCTAGACACCAGGACTATTTATCCTGGTGTTAGGGTAACAACTTTAACACGTGGGATAACTTTACTAAACAATGGATACTCGAAACACGATTATAGGATTATTATTAACAACAATTGAGACCTTACAGATTAAGTGCTGAATCGTTCACTGCATCATGTTCATGGATCGTTCTCTGCATCGTGTTCATAAATCGTTCTCTGCATCGTGTTCATGAATCGTTCTCTGCATCGCGTTCATGAATCGTTCTCTGCATCGTGTTCATGAATCGTTCTCTGCATCGTGTTCATGAATAGTTCTCTGCATCGTGTTCATGAATCGTTCTCTGCATATCGTGTTTATGAATTTGTATCGTACAATGAAGCTTTCGTATGTCATTTACTAGACACGGTAGAAATGCACGGCAATTGTGAGTGTAGTTTTTTTAACGAAGATGCACTTAATTCTGTACCCTGGAGCATTTCATGACCTCCATCCGTCACGCTGTTACTCACTTACTGCAGTCTGCGCAATCAAATTCGATAATCTTACTGTCTTAAATATATAATATTGAGCGAGACAAAACAGTGATAGAAGTTAAATTAAAAGTATATTGATGTATTAATGCACGAGCGATACCTAAAATATTGGTGTAATGAAACCAAATAAATGATTCAGCTGAGGTATGAACATATTATTTAAATTTTTATGTTGAAAGAATAAGTTTTTACATGTTTTTCAGACACTGATTCAGCATCCCTAGTATCATGAGTGTTGTAGGACCTTCAATGTTCGGTCAGCTTCACATTATGCATTAAAAAAATTTCTTGTTATACGAGTCCCAAAAATTATAATGAATGTAGTCCAGATTTAGAAAAATAATTAAAACGAATTGCAATCTGAGTTTTTTTCATTACTAAACAATGGGCGATGTGATATAGCGGTTGCGGGCGCAAGATTGGTACGGAAAGTTGTGGGTTCGAGCCCCAGCAAGCCGGGAAAATTTAACAGTGTTTGGTATCNAGCCACGAGGGGAATTTTCCCCTTACAGTTGAACCTGCTTTATGAACTAAAATCGTACAGGAACTCGGTTAATAGGAGTGATTCGTTTGTAAATTGAACATATTTATCCCTTTAAAATAATTGAGAAAGACAATTCCGTGTCGGGCCTCTCCATTCACATATATATTGTGCTTAAAATAGGGTGAAAATAATCATTTAATTATGGATAATTACATTATAACTATATTTTTTTGTGCTTAATAAGACATCTCAATATCCCAAGAGATTGGAGATTGTGGTTTTAGTTCGTAGCCAGATTGAAACTTCTGTTAACGACTGCAGTGAATTGGAGTCATTCTTGCCGTAATACTGCCATTCACTGCTGCATCGTACTTCAAGCGCCTGCTGGGTGCCACAGTACCACTGCCATTAAATGCAGTGAGGCCCATAGCAGATCACTGCTGAGGTGCAGGCAGTCTTGAGCACGCCGTCGAACGGCGCTAGTCAGCGTCTGCACCATGTACACTCTAACAAAATTCGGGGCGTGCTTCAGCCTCCGCCCCAGAGTTGCAACACTCGCGATGAAATTATTCTGGGTCTGCTTGGGCACGTTATCGCAATCAGCGACTAGTCCGAATCTCCTTGCTGACTTTATAGTCTCCTGAGAGTGTGGAAAGATTTGACTTGGCCAAGTCTACCCTGCCTGCAAACTGCCCAGGGACTGCACTTCAAGCCCAGAGCGGGAGTGCATGCAGACGCCTCCAGAACGTTCATGGCAGTACCTGCAAAGCTATAAATGTACAACTATCCAGTCTATGCTCGCTCACGAGCGTATAGTAGGGTAACATGGAGCAGCGAGCCCACTGCGGGTCATGGGCCCATAGCGGGTTTCTCGCTAAGTATGGCAGATATTGGTCCGTGTTCTCTACCGCCGGTCAGTCGACGAGAAAATGCGCTCTCTGTCACTCACTGCAGTGAGTACTGAGTTATATTTTTTCTTCTTTTTCTCCATCGTTAGGTATGTAGACTTAGGTACGGTACGAAGACCTGGCTTTGGAAACGTATACATTTAGTTGATGCTTCGGTAGGAGTGTATATAAAACCATCACTTCCTGCTTCCTATCCTTAAGTTTAAGTGTTTTCTCTTTGTTTTAGTTTTATTTATTTTTGTTACATTAGAAAATACATTTTAAAAATACGTTAGTTAAAAACATAAATTTACAGGCAAATGGCAGAACGTAGTAGAGTAAATACCTATATATTCGCAATTTCTAGTGGATAAGAACTAAATGCGGCATTTAACCTAAACCTCTCTTTAAAATATACAAGGATTCCAACAGGAGCAGATCGGATGCACTTGACTTTTTAGCTATAAGCTTAAAGTCAGTGTCGGACACTGGAACGTTGCACTATTCGGCTTGAATGAGCACAGCCGAATGAGGAGGGCGCGATAATAACTGCCCAGGGGCCGGTCTATCCAAACTTCGTATCTTTATACTTACGTACAGAAAATACGTGTTGCGTAAGTACACCCGAATTTTGGCATTATCAAAATTTTCGTACGCAAGACTTATGTGAGTAGCTACTATCAAACCTCGTTGCACATCAGCCAATCAGAAGCTTGCTTACATCCTTTATTTGCATCATGTGTCATCTAATGACAAGTTTCTGTTTCCAGCTAGTTCAACATTTTTAGCTTTTTTAAAGAATCCTAGACGCTTTTACTCTAAAAAATCAATGACAAATGCCGTTTCAAGAAGGCAAAACATATATTAATTATTAATATATATTACATATCCATTAATATCTATAGATTATAGCTTAATATCTATAATCTATTGATTGTTAATTTCACCAATTACTCGTTTTCAATCAGCATGTACTGACAAAAAATTCATTAGATGCATTACTAGTATAATTCCTTAGATACAGAAAATATTGTTTTCTGTATATAAATTAATTAGAGGATATACCTTGAAATGGTACTAGAGTCTATACATTAGTATGGTACTGGAGTCTATAGATTAGTATGATATAAAGTCTAGACACTAGTAGTAACTAAATGATTACCCATCGCTTCACCCATTCAAAATTTGTACGTAACTACCCTTATCAGTGGTAGTTAACCACTTAACCAATGCAACGTTTCATCCTCCAAGCAGGGGTACAGTTACGCACAAATTCTTGTACCTCGCTTCCCGCGCAAGTGTTTTCTAGTACCACCGCCAGAGTTACGTCTTCATAGCAGCACTTACGCAACACGTAAGTGGCTACGTATACGTATCGATGTTTTGATAATCCGGTCCCAGTCCTATAACTATTCTCTCTATGCTCAGCGACTCTAGAGCAAATGTTACGTGACGTCATTCCAACGTTCGCAGATGTACATCGTACGACAACTAAATTTATAAACTAGGGACGATCGCATGTGAGTAGGGAGAATATCTTTGTACCAAAAACGAACCTATTTTAAAATATTCACCAGTTTGATATGAAGATTAATGTTCGGAAAGTATTTAATAAACAAATCTTTTAATTCTCTTGACATAACTTCGGACGCATGACCGAAGTTTGGAAGAGAACTGTAAACAACGTTTCTATTATCAGGCTCTGAACATCTTCACTGTATCGCTTAGACAAATGAGAGAGCAGATGAATCAAAAATTGAGTTTCAAATCAAAGTTTCAAATGAGAGAGCAGATGAATCATTGAGTTTTCGCAGAAAGCTATTGATTTTTTATTCGATTTTCAATATAGTTGAAGAAATTGGATCAGTAATTTCGATAAATGTAGATGGATCGGATATGAGTGCAGTAAGGATACTGTTATATCGACTACGACCAACCGATACAACGCTTTTGCCCGTCAGGTTTACAAATGATCAAGTTTTTGTTTGCATCGATTTATTTTTATTGATTATCTATTACCTAAACTTGCGAAGTAATTCATTTACCATGGAACTTGCATCAAACAATAGTCAGTCCTTTCTAGACTCCAATATTACTAAATCTAATGGCCGTTTTCAAACATCTGTTTTCCGAAAATCAACTTTCACCGGCCTAAGCACCAACTTTTTTAGCTTTTGTTCTTTTCGATTCAAGTTAAACGGGCTTCAAACCCTATTAAGCCGCGGCTTTCGTATTAGCTCGACTTCCTTGCCATACACTCTGAATTCGAATTTATGAGCAATATCTTCTCGCTTAATGGATTTCCTTCTGACTTGGTATTTACCAAAATTAATAAATTTATGTCTAAGCGATACAGTGAAGTTGTTGTGTACAACATGTTCTCTTCCATGCTTTGGCCATGCGTCGGAAGCTATGTCAAGAGAATTCGAAGATCTGTTTATGAAGAATGAAAATTATACTGAGAATTATACTGAGAAGAATGAGAATTATACTGAGAATTATATTTTCCGAAGATTAATCTTCATATTTTACTGGTGAATAATTTTAAAATAGGTTCGTTCTTTCGGTACAAATATACCCTCCCTTTTTATATGCGATCGTCCTTAGTTTGTAAATTTAGTTGCGCACGATGTGCATCTGCGTACGTTGTAATGACGTCACGTAATCTTTACTCTAGGGTCGCTGAGCATAGAGGGAGGAGAGTTACTATCGCGCCTCCCTCATTCGGCTGTGCACACTAACCCGAACAGTGCAACGTTCCAGTGTCAGACACTGACTTTAAGGTTTTAGCTTCCAGTTTTGTTGCATCCGAACTGCAAATTTTGGAATCCATGTATATTTGTAAAGAGAGGCCAAGTTTAGTTCTTAACCACTAGAAACTGTGAATAGATAGGTAATTATTTTACTACTCTACCTTTGGCCTGTAAATTTAAGTTTTTAACTTCTGTATTTTCTTTTGAATCCCAACTTGATTAACTTCTGATTGTATCTGTGTTCTAGATTTTTTCGAACTGACCATGAAGCAGGACTCCGGAACGTTTTCAATAGAGATATGCCGAATTTTTGTGAAGTTTTCTTCAATTTTAAATTCCTAGTGAAGTAGCGATTCAAGCAATCTAGTGACATTAGCACCAATTTTACAAATCAGAGATCCTTCTGATTGTATTGGTGTGTAATTTTCTCGCTTTGATTAGTCATTTTATCTACTTATCAAGTTCTAAAATCAAAGTTCGATTCGTTAACTGATTTTTTATTAAACCTAACACTTCTGCCCAAGTCTTATACATCGCCGCTCGCGACACACACGTCAACGTGATGTGTGAACTGCCATGTTGGCCGTAGATAACATGCTGTGTTGGCCGTAGATAATAAACTGTGTTGGCTTGGAAATACTAGAGCCATTGCAGGAATAATGATAATATGACTAGGAATCCTTTATTGAACTTTATCATAAAATAAATATTCTAAATACTATTTATTGGTTGACATCATATGTGTTTAACTAATTGACGCGTATAGTCAATAAATGGCTTCCTTGGGGGTTTTGTAGGGTCGGCGCACAGTCACAGAGGGATAGTAAGGGTTGAAGAGGATTAAGGGGTAGGAAGAGAGTTGACTGGGTTTCTTATGACCCCAACAGGTCATTTAGAGGGATAACCTCGGTTGCACACGAGTCTGGGGCAGCAGGCGGGGTGGGGCAGCAACTTGTTAGTGACGACCCTGCAGTTCGTCGAAGGCGGGAACCCCGTTAACCCGCACCTGCAACACGAGGAGGGTAATACAGGGTCACCCTGGTAAGGTTATACAGGGTTTTCTAAGTAGGGTTATATGGTGTTACAGCACAGTTGCCGTGACTAATCTCACCTATGTCTTAGCTTTTACCTCTGTACTGCACTAGCTTTTGCTGCAGAAGATAGAATGTTATGGCGTTCGGTGGTGCGCGCTTAAGTGGATCAGAGACCCCCCCCCCCAAATGCAAAGCCATGCCTGTAGGCCGCAGCAATAGAAGCCATGCAAACAACTAAATGAGGGAAACCAAGGCAACAGTAGTGCTGGAAGAAACAGAGTGTGAGAAGAACTTGGGTTTACACATGGATCCCTGCCTGAAGTTCAAGACCACAGCAAGACAGAGTCATTATCAAGAGTAAATCAGATTCCTGGGCTAGTATTGAGGTCGTTTGAATATCGACATGAAAATTTTTACTAATCTATGCAAGGGCCAGGTGAGATGGCACCCAGAGCATGGCAACGTTGTTTGTTCAAATCTTCACAGGAATGACGGGGCTCTTTTGGCGAACATTCAGTGTATAGTCATGAAACTGGTACCAGACAGCGCATGGCTGGATACGATGAGAGAGACTAAGAACACTAAAGCTGCCAAACATGGCGTATAGCGAGCAAAAGGGGACCTTCGAAGCTTACAAGATGGCCCTTAGTTCTAAATCACAGAGGTCAAGAGCTGAATACCTGGCAGCTCGGAAGAGAGAGCAAGAGGAAACAAATATTAACTCAAGAAGCAACCTGACCGTTTAAGCATCAAATGGACTAATTAAGAGTGATGGACGCGTGGAACGGCTTGACGGAGCTTGTACAGGAAGCGCCTAATTGATCACCCATAAAAGCCGTTGGACAGATGCTTGGACACTAACCAGTACTCTACAGAGTTCCAATAAAGCGATCCTTTCTCAGTAACTGGAGTCCCATTGAGCCAAAGTAGGAGTCGACGGGGAAATTAAGTACGTATAGACGTAGCGAAATGGAAAGCAACAATCCGTTCGGAGTGATGGCTCGCTATCAACAGGCATAGAGCCTTCAACAAGGATCAACCAGTATATTTATGTTCAAGTTTCGTTCTCAGCTTGCTCATTCCATGTTCTGTTCACTTCGTATTGAGACTGTTTATCCTGTTCAAGCTCTGTTTACTGTTCACCCACCCTATCTGGCTGGCGAATAACTGCCGGCCGGACCGCCTCTCGCAGGAGAGCTCAACACAGCGGCCCGGCAGGGACCTCTTCTCGCCCGGCCTCAGCGCAACCCGGTAGTCAGAGAAGTAGCACGACCCGGGGAAGGCTGGGGTCAGGGGGATGGCATGAGGGGAAGATTTGGAGCAAAGGGGATATGGTGGGGCAGAGGGGAGATGGAGGGGCAGAGGGGCAGTGGGTTAGTGAAAGCCATCTGTTTGGTTACGAGTACAGGAACTGCGGCAAATAAAATATTTCCAGGCAAAATTCTTCAAAATTGTAATAATTTATTACTGAAATCCATCATTTTTCTTGAATAATAATGAAAAGTTTATTCATATGTTTTTCATGGCTATTTGGTACATCGATGTTGAAGATTTTGCCCCTACATTATCGGTTTTATCGCTCGATCGTCAATTGCTTTATTTCTGTCATGTTGGTAGCCTTTATTTCTGTCTTGTTGGTAAGTGGCTGACTATAGCGGCAGGTATGAATAAGTTCTCGCAGGAATAGGTTACGGCAAAAATGATACAGAGAGAGGGCTGTAATGAAACACTCGTACATTTCATATTAAGTTGGGAAATTCAAGTTCACATCCTACGTTGACAAAAAAAATCTCTTGTACATGAAAAAGGTAATCTGAACACGATCGAAATTGAGAATCTATTCGTTAACATCACTAAAATCTTCTACTTTTACCAGAAAACGTTGATTCGTTTAGTTCCGTTGAGTAGAATACAGTAGTAAACGACCGTAACTTGCGCACATGTTTGCGACCGTATGTTCAGCGGCCGTACCGCTGTTGTATTCTCGACTCCCCCTATCACAGTTGCTCTTTCTTCATAGCCGTATTTCCCGCGCTATAGAGATGTTTCACGGCCGGTCTAACCGTAGAATTTATGACGACCGTACTTCGGAACATACGTGGTGTTCGTCTTCATAATCGATGATATTACTCCACGCTCGTAGCCGTAATGCGGTTGCTGACTGCGACCGTACCGTTTTTTCTGATGAGAGTTGTGACCGTACTGTGCTGAAGACCGTACCGATGATAATTGTTGCTCGGTGCTTGAAAACTTTTATGTTCTGATGGCCGGCGTTACAATCGTTGGGCATCTCGTGGCCCTCTCGCGTTGTCTCGCGGCAGAGTCACAGCTGTTGTTTTGATGTTGGCCGTACATTAATATTTCGAAGTCGTGGCCGTCCATTTTATATGTTTGACGTGCTCACATAAATCGCAGCTGCCTCGGTGAGTCTAAGTTTCTCGCGACAGCCAAGGTTCGAAAACGGCAAAACCGCCGGCCTCGCGGCCGCGGCCATCCCAACGTCCGCAGACTGCAGACCGTACTCACGACGGTCAACTCCGTAGAACAAACTTTGGCACCAATTTTAAGGTCCTTATATACGCTGGTGTCGCCCAAACTTACGCTTATACCATCAAAGTGACGCTGCGGCGATTTTAAGTTCCACAAGGGTCAGCACCTCTGATACCTTCGCCAATTCAAACTATAAACAAATCCTCGGTCTCACGGTTTTGAGAACGATAGCACCTTATGCAAGCTTTACACAGCTCAAACAAAATACCTGTAGCCTTCTCAATCTTCACTCTAAGTCTCTAACTTCAAATAAATTTCCAAACTCAAGCTAAAAATTAAATCACCTTCAACTTACGTTTTACACAGTCTAATATAACTTAAATCAGAATTACCGACGATCTAATCACACTTGAATTTTCAAAGTAACTAAAAAATTTGGACGCAAAAACTCCACAAGTTCTTAAACCTGCTTAGATTGGCACACATTTCTGCACACATCACGCAGATAAGTGGATGCGTCATATTGTCCAAATAGTGACTTACTCATCTTGGAAATCTTGGTAATCTTGGTACTAGCAGTCCCAAGCCACGATGGATCGCCGTCTCAGCACCAGACCACTACTTACAGCACTACCAGAGAGTGGACGTAGCAATGATACGCCATTTCGCAGGGTCAAAATAGACCAGCAAAAAGTGCAGCACTCTTTGGACAATGACCCTCACATTGATCCTAGTGCATAGTTAAACGAAGGCAGAAATTCTCTAAAAATAATTTCCTGTTTCCTTAAGATGAGCGCGATATTTAATAGAAAAAATACGGTAATCAAGAGTTGCCAAGAGGTGTTTTGATCATTAGGCAACTCCGTAACTAGCTCAGTAGGTAACTAGTTACCTGGATTAGTGGTAGCAGGACCAGAAGATGCCTGAGCATTGATGCAGCGTGCAGTAACAAGCAGCACTGCTGCAAATGCTGCAAGGGGGAACGTCACTTGCATCTTGTAGCCTGTAGTTGTAGCTTTGTTGTTGTACTGATCTGTGAAAACATAAATCAAATATACTTGTACTGTACATTTATTTGCAAGTTTGACTGAAGACCAGAGAATGTTTTGTATTGAGAATTTTCTAATTTGTCCTCTCAATTAGTCTAACAATATTTGCTGCCTGGCATAGGCAGATCGAGGAGCAGGTTACCAAAGGACATTTTAATGGAATGCGACATTTCGATTATACAATATTCATTATCAAGTAGGTGAAGGGTTTGCAATACTTAAAATTGAAATTTAGAAATGACAGTAGTAGCATATGAAAGGTGTTCAATGCAGGTTTCATTGAAGACCTGAGATGATTCGTCTTATTATGGACAAGGAAAGGAACAACTTCTGGCGAACTACACCAATCTGGGTTTTGTGGATACAGTTCGAAACCTAAGCTTAAAATTTTTTTTAAAAACAAGGAAAGGAACAACTTCTGGCGAACTACACCAATCTGGGTTTTGTGGATACAGTTCGAAACCTAAGCTTAAAACCTAAGCTTAAAATAATTTCAGCGTCCGGACAAATCTTGTAGCCTGGAGGTTGATAGCCGGAGACTCGCTCATGAAAATTAGGGCCTCAGCTATCGCCAGTTTCGAAGCGTCAGGGCACCGCATAACTATGCTGGTGCAGGCCTTCAATGTCGCTCGGGAGATTTCCAAGGAGTCTCTTCAAGATTTCATATAGTGTTTCTTATGGATTTATGGCTTAATCATATCGTCCAGTTTCTTAGATGTCTTGTAAACTGGAGAAGTAACTTGCCAAATTAAATGAGTCGAAATTGCCACTCATTGAGAAGACAAAATTATCAATAAAAACATTCTCGGGACTTCTGTCTAACTTGCGTAAAACAAGGCTACTGTCGAAGTATACCAATTTTGGTACAATTATAAGTGTATGATTAAAAAGTTTGCTGTTTATATTGAAAACTTTTCGATGCGATTAGCGTACTAACAGTACATGAATCGTTTAAATTAACAAACATTGCGTCCGGTAATTTTGTGTCTATTGTCCGGCTATTTCCCTAAATGCAACTTTTTAAAAGTAGAAATTTTGGGACTTGTTTGTTCGGAAATCCACACCCTTAGACGGAATGCATTCCGATTCCTGCTTATAAATATAGATGCATAATTTACAGTACGTAGGAAACAATAGATAAAATTGTGGTTCTCATATACGTCCGGTGTCAATCAGGCGTCTCATTATATGCATTATAATTATAATATAAGATTAGACCATTGTAATTGAGACGTAATATTCACTAGACGTGATAGAGGTTGATGAAAAAGTAATAAACCTTATTCAGCGTCTAAACAACATAAAGCACGAGAGAGCACGCAATAGAAAAGACCAGGAAACCGCAGGAAACCCCAAGAAGAACCCAACAAAAGCGAAACAACACAACGCGAGGTAAAACGACTCCGAACCAACCCGACACGAACGACCACATACAAGCCTAGAAAAGCACGCGAGAACAACCACCCAGTACCAACACAAATCAACAAAACAGATCGAGACTAAACAAACCCTCACCTAACTAACCACCACAACCATACACACCGAGCCCCAGCCACAGGCAGGGGAAGATAAAGAGACAGACACAGACAAATACAAGAATACAAAAACAAAAACAAATACAAGATGCAGATGATACGGACGACTAAGAATGATAATTAAAAAGCATAAACACAAACCAACCCAAACCGAATGTGTAAAAATGAAAAACAAACCCCGAAACCCAACAGCCAAGCACCAACCACACAACAAACGACAAGCCAGGACACACCATACACCCGCAGACCCAAAGCTCAATGCATGGATAATTTTTCCTCGTAGGTTCCAAGCGCCGGCAAAACCCAACCGGACGAAAACAGGTCGCGGCGGACGTCGGTGCAGACGCGGAGCGACAACATGCGGCCGCTTAGGGAAGGTATCGAGTAGTAAGGGCTTTTAATTCTTGTTAAAGAAACGTTCTTATTAGAATCGTTTTAACGTCATACATTTCGACATTGTTTTAACGTCAAAATCGCGTAAAATTTTCACTTTAAAATTGCATACATATATTCGCGATCTTACCGTCAGATGTCAACGCGATTTTAACGTTGAAACAACAATGACGTTGAAAAAATGACGTTGCTCCAATTTTCCTTCTAAACTAATATTCAAAGTTATTTTAACGTCGTGTGTTTTGTTGTTTCAACGTTGATTCAACCTGACATTGCCTGCTGGGTAGGCTTTGATACACATTTTCTCAAATAAAAAACACATATTACTTAAATTTTTACAAATAAAATGACCAAATTATATTAATATATCACAACTTGGCGGAGACACTATGGAACAAAGAGCAAGAGGCAGCTAGGCCCTCACCCTCATGTATGACACCCCTACTCTATCCCCTTAGCCTCCGATATCCCGGTGTCTCTCACTGTAATATGAGCTTTGAATTCAAGCCTAATAGACTTTTCAAACAGTTATATTCTATCTCTATAATGTAAATGCATCACATTCAATACCTGAACCTTTTCGATGATATTTACTTTATAGAGTACAAATTTCTGCCCGATATACTTATGCCACCAGATTATTATTTTTTTCTTGAGTCCATATTATGGGCACGTCCAGGGAAAGTTACAGAGAGGCGAGGAAATTTTAACTTGTAGTGGTAATTAGATCTATCAAACTATAAAACAATAATTCAGACTGTACAGAGACCGAAAGTTTACTCATAACGACAGCGAAGTGCCTCAATTTTTGCAGCCTGTCAGCCCAGTCCGAAAAGAGGGTCCGGGGGAAGGAGTACGGCAGCAGAGGATGGAGACAGAAGGGGAAGTTGTGGAACCGCAGTAGGAGTTTTTGGAGGGGGTGGGTGTGGTGTGGTGTGGAAATATTGTAGGGATCTTTGTTCCAATATCGTCGGGGTTGCTCGACTGAATGCACAATGACCCGTATAACGAATATTCAACATCTACACATCATTGACAATGCAAGGTAACATGTTGTTTAAGTATAAATCTTTTGGCTGAACTTCCATTCGCTTGAGCCAACACATCGGTTCAAAATCAACAACAATAATATGTATATCTTCTGGTATCCAGTCACGAAAAAACCTTTATATTTCGTCCAGTAACTTTCATATGACCTTTTGTTCACTTTAATTTTATCGTCACCGACTTTCAAATGATTGCATTTTTTAGCAAGGACAGCATCTTTTACTGTCTTGAAATAACGCGGAGCGCTTGGACACTTGATTTCAACAACATGGTCATGATCCACGAGACCGTCTGGGGATGAACCTAAGTAAAGAAAATCTTTGTCTACGAAAAAATCGCTTCTTTTCACTGTGATGTCCATTTTATTTTGCAAGCCTTCAATCGCTGAAGTTTCCCTCTTTCGACCCCACGCTAGGGCAGGCAGCGAACCACTCAAGCCATTCATTATACTGTAGGCCACCAAATCCTTGTTTGCCTTTTCTCTTTATTTGCACACCGTCCCGAATTTAGCAGCGATCAGTCTTTTTCTACGTTCATTATGCCACGATGAACAATTACTTTGTTGAATTATTGAAAACTCAAGAGTCTGAATTTGATTTTCATCCAGAGCAGAATTTGAGTAAAGTTCCTTTTAGGAACTATAGCATATATACTATAATTATAGTATAGCATATATATATAGCCTTTACTGTATATAATATAGCATATATACTATAGTTAACTATAGAACAATTCCGTAGAAGAGCCGTATTTCGGCATTGGCCTTCTTCTGAGCCAAATGAGCTTCAATTTTACAACCCTTCTCTTTAACTTCACTTCTTGTTTGTTTGTCTGTCTGCTTCAAATCTTACAATCGATATTAAAGCACACTTCTACTTGTCCGATAGATCTGAAAATTTTCACACTTGCATAAAGTCGGAGACAATGCATGAATCAATTGACAGGATATATAAATGTAAAATAAAAAAAAGTTTAATATAAAAAAAATAAAAAATAATTTTGTCTTCTAGAAATCTTATAACCGCTATTCAACATATTTCTACTTGTCCAATCGATCTGAAATTTTGCACACTTGAGTAAAGTCGGAGACAATGCACGAATCAATTAACACTATAAATAATTTTGAATAAAACCTATATTAAATAAAATATTTAATTTATGAAAAAATTGAAAATTACTTTTTTTAATATATGGAAATAAAATTAGAAATTCATTGTAGATGTGTAACATCAGAAACACTGTATTCTCTAGAAGTGATGTTTTTAAAAAGTAATTTTTATATGCATATTTTCATCATCACCTTGTTAGGGGGTTTTCGAGAAAGTTTTTCGTGGATTAGTGAATGCAATTATCCCTTATATTGTGTGCTATTACGGCACCGTTGCATCTGCTTTTGAAGCCGTCTTTCCACGGAAGTTTACTATTTTCCACCGGTTAATTTTGCAACTTGACTGTAGAAATTGTCTACTTTGTTGCTACTAACATCATGAATAAGATTGTCTGCTTAATCCTTCACTCTGTTCAGAATCTTCATTATAGCTTGAAAAACTCCTGTTTTTCCACTCAATTTTTTGGCAAGTGATTTTGGTCATCTTGCTCTTTGAAGAAATAATTACCGGTTATGGAACACATCGTATGATCACAAAAAAGACATGTATGGCGCTGTTCAAAATGTTTTTATGCAACCCCTCAATTTTTCCTTTTCTGAAACATTATTCAATTTTTTATGGTGTCTTATAGCGCCATTTATGGCATTTATCAAACATTGACCACGAAACTGCACCAGTTTCCGTTGTTCTACAGAACCAAGCCTTGCTGCTCCGTTAGCTATGTGGACATCTTTTATCAAATGTTTTTGGTAATTCCTCAAGATGTGATTCTAACATTCAATTTTCTAACCTCTTCAGGAGAGTAAGGCAAGATTTCAAGCACTTTCGGATACACGCTACTGTCCCCGTCACCAACGAAGTAACTGTACTTCAGACCATATGTTTCTATACATGTGTTCTGCTTCCTTGAAGACGGGATGTCATGCCAATTTAGACTGCTTTCATGATCTTTGGGAGCTTTTTTATTCTGAGCATACACGCAGACTGCGCAAAATCGATTGCGTACGCTCATGAAAAACATTTATCTGAGGGATAGCCAACTACTGCTGTAAGCTCCGAGAGGTAGCCGAGTAATTATGCCCCAACGATCGCTTTGACCAGACACCATCAGCAGTAACTAATTTCTTGGAGATACCTTTTGCAGCAACTCTATTTTCTCGAATAGCCAAATTTTTTTTCTTCTTGAGCCGCGACTTTCATGCTTTCGAAAGCTGTTTCGATCCACTTGGCACTGACACGTTGCTCATATTTATGATATGTGTTTTGAGTGACGAAAGGAACGATGAGGGATCCCAAAAAATTCTGAAGCTTGTGATCTCCCGATACCTATAGCTAGGACTCTTGATACTGCAGAATAATTTGATGAATATACCTTTATCTAGTCTGTTCTTGAACGCGTTCATACTTGGAGCGCCAACGATGTCATCGTCGAGGCTGTTCCACATGTCGGTGATTCAAAGCGAGAAGAAATGTTGACGCTTGGAGAAGTTGCAGCGCAGTTTTTTAGTTTATAGCTGTGGCCCCTGGTGTTGGTTCTTGTTTCAAATTTTTGTAATCCTTCGGGGACCTTGTATAAACCATGAGTATACTTGCATACTTCAATGAGGTCCCCACGCAGACGTCGATAACTGAGGCTTGGAAGCTTCATAATCTTTAATCTTTCTTCATAGGACTTGCCCTTCAAGCCTGGAATTATCCTTGTTGCACATCTTTGAAAATTCTTTATTAAATTTTTGTCCTTTTCAAATCTCGGTGACCACATAACGTTTCCAAACTCTAGATTCGGGCGCACGACAGCAACAGACAACTGCTACATCGCGTCTGCATCTAGGAACTCGTATGAGCGTCTGATCAGTTCAAGAAGTTTGTTGGCTGAGTTAGCTTGCGTTTCAACATGCTTAGAAAATTTCAGCTCCTTGTCGACATAAACTCCATGATCTTTTTCCACACTAGACTTTTCAATCATTACTCTCTCGTTGCAACCNATTAATTCCCATACACTCGTTTGCGATCACATTCAACAGTTCAATTTTTTGTTCAAAACGGAATCCGAGTTCGTGTAAAAACATTTTAAAACTTTTTGTGCACTTTCACTTTGATGTATGCGGTTACTTCCTACATTATTTACAGGCCTTAATCTACGGACATCATTCCTACTAATTACTTATCCTCCATCTCCTCTGACTGTCCTTGAGCAGCCGGTGTTGTCTTGACAACTTGGAAGTGATTGACCTGATTTTCTGTGCCTTTCTGCCGCCTGATTCTCTCGTGCCACTTCTTGCGAAGTGGCAGAAGTGGTCACTTCTTGCATTCTACGAACACATGTTCGTAGAATGCAACGCCATTTTACACGCATCGGTAAAAAGACTTTTTACATCGCAGGGCCTCCTATCACTTAATGGTTGTAACGCATTTTGGAACACTTGTAGAATGTCACTGTTATAACTAGGCACATCACTGCTATTAGGTGGTTCAGCATTCTGCACGCTCGACTCTTCACTGTTATGTGGTCCAGTGTTTTGCACGCTCGACTCCAATTCAGAGATTCTTCTGATTGTAATGGTGTGTAAAATTCTTGCTTTGATTAGTGATTTTATCCACGAATCAAGTTTTAAAATAATCAATGTTCAATTTGTTAGCTGATTTTTTATTAAACCTAACACTTCTGCATGCGTCATATCGCCGATCACGACACACCGACCGTGAACTGCGGTCAACGTGATATGTGAACTACCATGTTGGCCGTAGATAATATACTGTGTTGGCCATAGATAATATGCCATGTTGGCCATAGATGCCATGTTGGTCGTAGATAATAAACTGTGTTGGCTTGGAAATACTAGAGTCTTTGCAGGAATAATGAATAGGAATACTTTATTGAACTGTAACATGAAATGGGACCCTGCTCTCGGTCGCACACTACATCCCTACCAAAATTTAGAGTCGTCCCAGCTTCTGGTACTCCAAATCAGAAGCTGCCGCGTCTGTAAATTTTCATTGGGATGGAGCAGCAGGCGGGGTTAGACAGGGCCTCGTCATGGACGACCCTGCAGCCAGGGTCGCCTAGTCGGGCAGGGACTCGTAACGCAGACGATATCTCCGGGTCTTCTCCTGAACTCCGGCAATCCGCACCTGCAACACGGGGAGAGTAATACACGGTTACTCTGGTAGGGTTATACAGGGTTACCGTGTTAGAGCTATACAGGGTTACTCTGGTAGGGTTATACGGGGCTACACTGGTTGTATTATACGCGGTTACCTTGGTAGGGTTATACGGGAATAGTCTGATTGGGTTGTACAGGGTTGTTCCGGTAGGGTTATATAGGGTCAACCTGGTAGGATTATACAGGACTACCGTGTTAAAGCTATACAGGATTACTCTGGTTGGGCTATACAGGGTTGTCCTGGTAGGTTTATACAGGATTACCATGTTGGAGCTATACAGGGTTATCGGGTTACCCTGGTATAAGGGTTATACGGTGCTACCCTGGTTGTATTAATCGCGTTTGCCATGGTAGGGTTATGATTAGTTTGCCGGATGGGATTTTATGTGCTCAACCTGGCAAAGCTGGACGTGGTTACCTTGTGACCCTGATGGATTAGGGTTATCCTTGTGACTCTGATTATTATGTGTGGTTAGCCTGGTAGAGGTACTTGCTTGCTCATCCAATACGGCCTCACAGCTGGATTGCTATGTAAGGTTGAAGCAGGGCTATCAGGGATTGTTATCTGGAGTATAATATAAGTGTGGCAATCATGAGTAATGTGGTGTGAGGGGCAATCTTGAGTAATGTGGTGTGAGGGGCAATCATGAGTAATGTGGTGTGAGGGGGCAATCATGAGTAATGTGGTGTGAGGGGCAATCATGAGTAATGTGGTGTGAGGGGCAATGAGTAATGTGGTGTGAGAGGCAATCATGATTCAAAAGCCTATTCTGACATATTTTTATCAAGTGAGATGTAAATCATCCTGAGATCGACTGAAGCTACATAGTAACCTTACGTTCATGTTCTGTTAGACACTACCTAGGCTTTCATATCCTTGAAGAACTCCGAGTTTTTTACTTCTACCTTGCAGAGAGCAACCCATTTTAGGGGTGTCCAGAAAGCCAACATTCCGACACTGGCTTTAAACAACGAGGAAGACATAATTTACAAGATCCAGGCTGGTGAACGACTAAGGAAGAGCTATCACCCAGAATGGAGCTTCGTGCAATAAGACGGCACACCGAGAAAATTTCATCAACAACAAAGGAAATTTCTACGCGATCCGGGCGAAATTGGCGGTCGTTGAGTGGAAGACGCTGTTTTTAGGTGTAAGGACGGACGGAATTTGGCGAACATTGAAGGAAAATATTATTGAAGTATAGATCAGCATACAAGGAAGGAAAAACCGGGGGTGTGGACCTCATAGTAATTAGACCGGTTTGGATGAACGTCAAGGCAATAAAAGCCTTGAATAGATATAAGTGGTATCTAGCCAAATGGGAAATACGAAATGAAAGAAATTGGTTCGAACAGTCAGTTCGAACGTTCAGAGTTCAATCCTTAATTTTTTCCACTTGTGTTGACTCGAAGCGGGATAGCCGATCTTGAAAAGGATTATGAATCAACAACCACGATGAACCATGAGACGGTGGAAATTTTGAATAAATTCTTTGCTACTGTATCAACAAATGAAATTACTTCTTCTTTTGCTAATATCAGCAAAATTTATAAAAAAACATTGGAAAATAAAACATTATGCGAGAGGTGGGTCTATGACTGGCTTATTAAACTTAAGCTTCAGATATCACAAGGCCCTGATGACATACATCCCAGACTGCTTAGGGAAGAGAATAACGAACTAACGAAGTCGCTCTGTCTATACCCTTCAATTTATCATCGAGGCTGGTATCCATGCCAGGTGGACGCCTAAGAGTGCCCGACCACCATGAATGTAAGAAATATAGTCCATCAGAATGCCATTCGGTGAGCCTGACCTCAGTTGCCGGATAAACAATGACGAACATCGCCATCGCCTGGGAAAATTTGCAAAAGCAGATAAAACCATTCGTGTCGAAATGCAAGCACGGCTGTCCCTGCGGTCGCTCAACCACTACGCAACAACAGGACAAGGTGGAGGAATGGACGAGACAATTAAATTAGGGCAGCGCAGTTGACGTGACTTGTCTTAACAATGTCTTAGCTTTTAACTCTGTACCACACTAGCTTGTGCTGCAGAAGCTGGAAGGAAATGGCGTTCGGTGGTGCGCGCTTGAGTGGATCAGAATTGAGGTAAGTCGTCAACTTCAGACAGACCTGGATGACTTCATGCAGCGGCGGTCAGAACTGTGGCAGTTCCAATACAACGTTATAAATCCCACCACCCAAAATGCAAAGCCATGCATGTAGGCCGGAGCAATAGAAGCCAAAAAAACTAAATGAGGGAAGCCAAGGCAACAGTGGCGTTGGGAGAAACAGAATGTAAGAACTTGGGATACCTGGCTAAAGTTTAACTACAACTGCAAGACTAAGAGTGATGGACTAAGCATCAAAAGGACTAAGAGTGATGGACGCGTGGAACGGCTTGCCGGAGCTTGTAGAGCAGGCGCCCTATTGACCATCCTCAAAAGCCGTTGGACAGTTGCTTGGCCGTCAACCATAACTACTGAGTTCCACTAAAGCCATTCTTTCTTAGTAGTTGGAGTAGCATGGGAGCCAAGGAGGGGGAGGACGGGAAATTAAGTACGTATAGACGTAGCGAAATGGAGAGCAACAATCCGTTCTTGGTGATGGCTCGCTCTCAACAGGCATGGAGCCTTCAACGAGGATCAATTAACCAGTATATTTATGCTAAAGTTTCGTTCGCAGCTCGCTCATTTCATGTTCACTTCGTATTCAGACTGTTTACACCCGATTGCAAACTATTGATTACACCCTGTTCGCGCTCTGTTCACTGTTCACCCACTCCATCTTTGTCTCGCTGGCGAACAGCTGCCCGTCGGACCGCCTCTCGCAGGAGATCTCGACACAGCGGCCCCGCAGGGTCCTCTTTTCGCCCGGCCTCAGCGCGACCCCGTATTGTGGGAAGTAGCAGGACCCTGGGAAGGCTGGGGACAGGGGGATGGCATGAGAGGAACATTTGGAGCAAAGGGGAGAGTGAAGGGAAATGGAGGGGCAGATGGGAGATGGAGGGAAAGAGGGGAGATGGTGGGGCAGAGTGAAAATGAAGGGGAAGAGGGAAGATGGAGGGGCAGAACAAAGATGGAGGGGCAGATGGAAGATGAAAGGGGAGAAGGTAAATGAAGGGGCAGAGGGAAGATGGAGGGGCAGAGGGGAGATGAAGGGGCAGAAGGTAGATGGAGGGGCAGAAGGGAGCTGGAGGGGCAGAGGGAAGATGGAGGGGCAGAGGGAATTAGTAAAAGTCATCTGTATGGGCACGAGGGGAGATGGAGGGGCAGAAGGGAGCTGGAGGGGCAGAGGGAAGATGGAGGGGCAGAGGGAATTAGTAAAAGTCATCTGTATGGGCACGAGTACAGGTACTGCGGTAAATGAAATACTTCCACAGAAATTTCTTCGAAATTGTAATAATTTATTAATGACGTCCATCGTTTCTCATGACTTTTCGAAGTAACGAACAGATTTGGGCGCAAAAACTCAACAAGTTCTTGAACCTGCTTAGATTTGCACACATTTTTGCACACATCACGGAGAAAAGTGGATTCGTCATAGTGTCCAATGGTGACTTACAGCACTACCAGAGAGTGGACGTAGCAATGATGCGCAATTTTGCAGGGTCAAAAATGGACCAGCAAAAAGTGCAGCACTCGTTGGACAATGACCCTCACATTGATCCTAGTGCATAGTTAAACGAAGGCAGAAATTCTATAAAAATAATTTCCTGTTTCCTTAAGATGACCGCGATATTTAATAGAAAAATTACGGTAATCGAGAGTTATTGAAAGGTGTTTCGATCACTAGGCAAATCCGTAACTAGCTCAGTAGGTAACTAGTTACCTGGATTAGTGGTAGCAGGACCAGAAGATGCCTGAGCATTGCAGCAGCGTGCAGTAACAAGCAGCACTGCTACAAATGCTGCAAGGGAGAACGTCACTTGCATCTTGTAGCCTGAGTTGTAGCCTTGTTACGGTACTGATCTGTGAAAACATTAATCAAATATAAATGTACATTTATTTGCAAGTTTGATTGCGAGTATTTGCAAGTCTAAATTACGACTCATTGAGAAGACCAAATTATCAATAAAAACATTCTTTAGACATCCATAACCTGCATAAAACAAGGCTACTGTCGAAGTATGTATGGCAATTTTCGTACCATTATACAATATGTGTACGATTAACAAGTGTGTTTTTTATATTGAAAACATTTCGATGCGATTATCGCACGAACAATACAAGCTTTATTTAAAGAATTTCTCGTGTGAATGGCATTCTTATTATCAAACATGTCCTCTAGTGTACGGTTCTAACCTAAAATCTGTTAGTAAACCATATTTGAAAGTGATTTAATGACACACTCTCATTAAAATCATGGTTCAGTAACATATATTTTCATGGCGAACCATTTAAATCGATTTTGAAAGCGATAAATTTATTACTGCTAAAATACTTGGAGAAGAATTTTTTTAATCTATTTTTATGAAGTCGCATGAGCTTGAATGAAATAACCGGTCATTTCCCATCCCAGTTGAATTACGTTCAGAGAATTTACAATCTTCGCATCTGGTAATTTGTGTCTATGGTAATTTGTGTCATTGTTGGGCTATTGTCCTAAATTTAACTTTCTATGAGTAGAAATATTGTGATTTGTTCGCACTGAAATCAACATCTGCAGTCTGGATGCATTCCGATCCCTGCTTATAAATGAAGATGCATTATTTATAGTATGTAAGTACCAATTGAAAAGACTATTGTTCTCAAATACAAGTATATGTATTCATGTATAAATACATGTTGAAGAAAGTCTTAAAGTATATGACTGATAACTACAGTTGATAAGCATTAATCCATTTGTACCGAATACGTATTTTTTAAAATTAACTCCTTACCTCGACAGCTGCTGCTCAAGCACTGACCTCATGACAAGCGAGGGTGCCTTATATACCTGCATGGCCTCCGCAGAGCTCAATGGATAATTTTTCCTCGTAGGTTCCAAGCGGCGGCAAAACCCAACCGGACGACAACACGTCGCGGCGGACGTCGGTGCAGACGTGGAGCGACAACATGCGGCCGCTTAGGGAAGGTTTCGCGTAGCAAAGGCCCTGGATGTTTTACATTCAGCCTGGTTGTGATGATTAAAGTCGCACATTAAGTGTAGTGGTTAGTGCAAAAATGATTGTTGCTAAGTAATAAATTCTTATTTATTAAAGAATTATATACAGAATTAAATTTTAGGGCCGGGAATAGAGCTGGCCATCGCCTGCCATAGACCTGACGTGAGACGCGATAGAGCAGAAATGTTTGCAATAAAGACGATTTCGTCAGTCTCGGATCAGCGCTAATTAATCTATTAAAACCTGCCGTGGCGGGCTCTGTCCTGCGGCCACGCAGCCTTCACCGAATACCTCTGGCTCAAACTGGGCTGTGGCGGTGCACGCAGCAGTTGAGCTTGACCGTTTGTCGACAACGATTCCAAATTATTTTTAGCGCATTTTCTCATTATGGGAAAAATGCACTATGGCGCTCGCCATGTTCGTCTGTCTGTCCGTCCGTCTGTCCATCCGTGACCTCAAGTTTTCGTCGACGAGAAGATGCGCTCTCTGTCAATCACTGCAGTGAGTACTGAGTTATATTTTTTCCTTCTCTAGCCAAAGTAAGCGACACATTAATCTTGCAATGAGAGGTTAATTAATCATTTGTTGTCGACGTACACACCGTATTAACAAATTAACACCAATTCCAAGCCAATAAATAGAATTACCAAGGATACAGAAGCAACATATAAATTAACGCTTATATAGCTCTCAGTGGAATAAATGTCCGATGGCATCTCCAGGATTCGAACAGTGTACAAACCACGCGTTTGAACCAGTTTGACCATCCAGACACCTACCTACATTGAGCCCCATCACTGCTTAACAATAGTACAAAATAATGATTTACTATTGTCCAGCGAATTGAGGACTAGCCACATTTGTGATTGAACTTTGTAATATTATTCATTTACATCTTTTTTAGAGATATGAGCACAGTTTCTATTCAATCGAAAAAATTACACGCATCTGAATGAATGAAAATTTTCGTGACAATATCTATCTAACTAATGGATATCTAACTAATGGAGGCAGACGAGTAGTACCTTACTTACAATTTCTGGAGGTAGAATTTACAATTTTCTAAAAAAATAAAGACTCAATTTAGGTAAGACCAGATGTGGCGTTTCACATCACATGAATTAGAAAATAGAAAGAGCTTTCTTCACTGATTCTATCTCTTACCCACCTCCCTATCTCAAAATTCACATTGAAATGTACGGCCTGCCTAAGAGTCTGGGGTANATCTATAAATGTAGCGGTAGCGCTGTAGCGGCAAAACCTCGTATCGCTACTTAAATATGTAGCGGGCGCTACCGCTACCGCTACATTGCCTTAAATGTAGCGCCGCTACCGCTACTGAAAATGTAGCGGCCGCTAGTAGCGACCGCTACATGTAGCGCGCTACTGCCCACCTCTGTATATAACACAACTTGAACAGAGACGCTATGGAACAACGCATGCGAGGCAGCTGTAGGCCCTTACCCTCATGTCTGACACCCCTCCTCTCTCCCCTTCGCCTCCGATGTGTTGGTGTCTCTCACTGTAATATGAGCTTAGAATTCAAGCCAATTAGACTGTTTCCAAACAGTTATATTTTATCTCCATTATATAAATGCATCACATTCAATACCTAAATTATTTCGATGATATTAAATTTATAGAGTACATATTTCTGACCGATAGACATATTGTCGCTAGATTATTAGTTTTCTTCTTGTGTCCGTATTCTAGGTACGTCAAGCGAAGGTTAATTACAGAAAGGCGACGAAATTTTAACTTTTACTGGTAATTATGATCTATCAAAATATAGAGACAGTTATTCAGACTTGAGCGAGAACAAAAGTTTACTCATAACGACAGCGTTCTGTGCGCGCGGCTCCTCAGACTTTTCTGTCACTAAATTTCTCAAATCGTCGTCATCGCTTGTACAATTCACTTTTGGTATTGTGTTATTGACGAAATTCTCGCCTGATACCGATGCTTGTAGAATCTTCCGGAGATTTTGTTGTTTTCAGCCGAGCAAATAACATCGATATAGCATTGAAGTAATGTATAATAATAATAATAATAAATAATAGCGGTTTCGGCGTTTAGTAGGCCGTAGGCCTGTCGCCGATTCTTAACATTGCAGAACATTCACACTTTGTTGAGGGCTCGAACTCGCAACTCATTGCTACAATTCGCTTAACCGCCCGGCCTCCTTGCCGATTCTGACCAGAAACTGGCGCACAGAGCTGGGATCGAACCCGCGCCTCTCTGCGCCAATCTTGGTACTCTGACCTGTAACCACTGGGCCACCCTGCCCCGTATAAACATGAGCTGTACATCATCGCAATCATTTTTAAGGGTAACTATAACAAATAAAGGAATTTTCAACTTCTATTTTAGAGACCTCTGACTTATGAGATTCAAATCTTGTTATATCCATCATAAGTAACGACTGTTATAAATCTTACAAACATCTTTTCAACTGGAGACCTTTATTAATTCGTGGTGATGAAAATAACAGTTTTTTCGATTTCTATTGAGAGAAACGCATGTTGTGGCCAGTGTTCACGCACACGAACTAACAATGGAAAGGTGTATTTTTAACGTGCTAGCCCTTTAACAATAACCAGCCAAGAGGGTAAGGAGGTAAGGAAGCTGTCCCTCTACCCCCAAGGAAGAGAGTATATTGACGAAGATTACGCCAGTTCATGCAAGCAGATTTATGAGCGTCAAGGAAGGCATCTGCATCATGTGAACGGTACGACACGTGTAACATGCTCCTAGCCAGCAAAGAGATGTCCCTCTACCCCCAAGAAAAAGAGTATATTGACGAAGATTATGCCAGTTCATGCAAGCAGATTTATGAGCGTCAAGGAAGGCATCTGCATCATGTGAACGGTACGACACGTGTAACATGCTCCTAGCCAGCAAAGAGCTCTGCTGATTGTGCAATTTTCTACATCAATCCCAGCTTCCTCCAGGCCACATTTATTTCACAACGAGTAACAAACAGGTTTTTCTGTACCTTTCTGCTTATCCACCTTGCATTACCGTCTGTTAGTTTCCTTGGACAACCCGGTCTTGGAAGGTTTGCAGCAGCATGTTCGGATGATATCATCAGGATGATAGCTTCCTGATAATATTTCCAACTGTACTTAATGATAGATCAAGCTCCTTGGATATTATTCGATACCCGTTCCCATTCTTGTGGCAATCGATGATCTTTGGACGCAAATCTGTCGCCAGCTCTCGAGTTTTAATCATTTTAAATTAAATTTTAAAAATTATGCTTAATAATATCTTCACCGGAACACAAAATCTTGTAAAGGCAAACCGATCTGATTGGCCAAGTAGATAACGATATGAGATTAGTGGAACGTCTAAAGTGAAAAGAGAATTTTAAGTACTTTTAAAAAATTATTTTTGTTCATTTTTGAACATGTACCCAATACTTGTGCGTGGGTTAATTTTTCTATTTTGTTGAATAAAATTTAATCAATGCTTACATTTCAATAGCCTTTATAAATAATGTTTCTAGTATCATTAGCAATATACTGACTAAATATTAGGTAAAATCTAGCCCTTTAACTTGAGATATAAAGAAAACTGTAATGTATACAATAGTTTAGCGTGTCACTGTAAATTGAACATCGATGTAAATTTTCCTCTATCATAACAGATGTTTTACAAAATTTACATATATTTGTACCTGTAGAAAAATAATAAATAAATAGCTGAATAAGCATGAAAAAATTGATATTTCATTAACGAGCAGAGTTATAATGACAAAACGTAGTGATAGAATACTATAGGGTTCCAGCCAAGCCTGCCTGAGGGCTTACGGTTGTGGCAGGGCCAAAACAGTGCCTCATTCCGGCCCTGTCTCGGGCTATATTTTGGAGTTTTCCTCTACAGAGATAGAAGGTTATAGAAATAGATGACCGGTTATTGCTTCACGGCTCTGTTCGGCTAAATTTTAGCAGTACCATCCGAGATCGGTGCCGGTCCCGCCTACAAATTTCATTTGGGTTATCACAACTAATTTATTTCGTCTGACTGACACGTCATAGTGCGGGACTTGTGAATGCCATGCCAGGAACAGCGAGCAAGACTGGTATGTGTCATCCCTCTGACCACAGAGTAGGACTAGTATGCATAATACCTGCATCGCATGACGATGCTGTGCACGTTGCATGATGTCACAACACCACATGACTATGCTGGCCATGCGGTGCCCCGACGCTTCATGACTGGCAATGGCTGAATCCCACACGAGTGAGTCTCCAGCCATCAACCTACAGGCTACCAGATTCTTCAGGACCTTGAAATTATTTTTCGAATAATTCGCAGTTCTAATTTTCTATCTGTATCCGCAATACTCGTACTCATTGCTTGTTCTTATTTCACGTCACAATTTAAATTAAATGTTGTAAAAACCTTCAATTACTGGAAAATGAATGTTGAACATTCGAAACGTCGTATTATATAAGAATATAATATAGTAACCTATTTCTTGATCACCCTGCGCAAGCAAGAAATTTCTTTCGACTCAATGAACGTAAGCGTTGCAGTTAACGCGCCGTAAGCGTTGCAGTTAACGCGCCGTAAGCGTTGCAGTTAACGCGCCGTAAGCGTTGCAGTTAACGCGCCGTAAGCATTGCAGTTAACGCGCCATAAGCGTTGCAGTTAACGCGCCGTAAGCGTTGCAGTTAACGCGCCGTAAGCGTTGCAGTTAACGCGCCGTAAGCATTGCAGTTAACGCGCCGTAAGCATTGCAGTTAACGTCGCTAGCACTGCTTTTCTATAACCGCAATGTCCACAGTACTGCGTCACTAGCGCTCTACCAATAAACTTTAACTGAACTAAGCGCACCATCAGAGGCTATACTTGTTATTCGTGTTTGGTTAGAGCTGAAAAAAGAGCTGAATAAGATTAGAGCTGAACTTATCATGCAGTTTAAATTGTACATACAGCTCAACTACCGTTATAATAAAGATTACTAATATCAGCTAGTTCTTGTTGCACTGCACATGAATTTGTACTATTTGTACTTTCCTGTACAATTGTGACTGGTTTTGACAATGCAGTTATTTGTGCTGCAGTTGGCTATGTACTGTACAGGGCAGCTGTTCCAAATCTATTTCAAGAATATTCAATTACAGGAGAAGGTGCGACCACTGAATTACGGCGTGATTATTACGACGTTACAGCTCAGTTACACTTCAGTTACAGTGCACGCGTCGCTAAGGATTGCGCGTCCTGCGGATGCCTGTGAAGATAAAAATGTTTTCGTCCCTTATTCGTATATTTCGTTGTCTCTCATTCGTATGTTTCGTTGTCTCTCATTCGTATGTTTCGTTGTCGCTCATTCGTGTGTTTCGTTGTCTCTCATTCGTATGTTTCGTTGTCTCTCATTCGTGTGTTTTGTTGTCTCTCATTCGTGTGTTTCGTTGTCTCTCATTCGTGTGTTTAGTTGTCTCTCATTCGTGTGTTTTGTTTTCTCCCATTCGTATGTTCCACTGTCTGTCATTCGTGTGTTTCGTTGCCTCTCATTCGTGCGTTTTTTTTTCGTTGTCAATCCGAATTGCTGAATCTACTCTTATTCGTGTACAGACACCAATTAATATTCGTGTACGGACGCCAATTATTATTCGTGTACAGACAGCAATATTCGTGTGCAGACACCAATTAATATTCGTGTACAGACACCAATTAATTATCGCGTACAAACACCAATTAATATTCGTGTACAGACACCAATTAATATTCGTGTACAGACACAAATTAATATTCGTGCACAGACACAAATTAATATTCGTGCACAGACACAAATTAATATTCGTGTACAGACACCAATTAATATTCGTGTACAGACACCAATTAATATTCGTGTACAGACACCAATTAATATTCGTGTACTGACACCAATTAATATTCGTGTACAGACACCAATTAATATTCGTGTACAGACACCAATTACTATTCGTGTACATACACCAATTAATATTCGTGTACAGACACCAATTAATATTTGTGTACAGACACTTATTAGTGATCACAGTGAACGCTCTGAGAGGCTGACAGCTGGTAATTTCCTCCGCCTCCTCTTCGCTGTTTGTTTTAATGATGAATAATAAAGATTAATGTTATTGTCATATGAACAATGCAGTTATTGTGCCGGCACGCTAACTGCCGGGTCTAACTGCAGCAGTTAATATGCCAGCACGCCCACTGTCGGGTTACATTATTATTCTACGAAGCATTTTCTGGTTCAAACGAACTCCGAAGGCACGTCCTACATAAGATCAATAGCGAGCGAAAAATAAATAGACTCGACGAAGGGTGGGAACTGATAAGATGACTAAGCACTAGATTCATAAGCTCTACGAAATAGTTCCGTCTTTAGGCGTCGACGAAAAACCGGCAACGAAAGAGCCGATGTTACGAAAGCTGGTAGACTCTTCTAGGTTCTGGCGGCGGCAACCGGGAACGCTCTGTCGCCGACGGTAGATAGAAGTGTAGATGGTACGACAAGGTAGACGTGTAGATGGTACGACAAGGTAGACGTGTAGATGGTACGACGAGGTCCGCTGTTGATGACGAGAGCAATCGTCTTCTAGAAGGCAGATCCGGCACGCGCTGCAGACATTCCGTGAGATAAGAAAGCGCCAGACCATGCAGGCATGCAGGCATAGGTACGTCAGAACAGCGACCTTGAACTGCGTGCGCTACTGAATGCACAGCCAGTGAAGATCGCGCAATATCGGCGTCACGTGGTCGAATTTTCGCTTACTGCACACAAGTCGAGCAGCAGCGTACATTACGGATTGCAGTATATTAAGTATGGCATTTTATGGGTCAGAAGTCCATAAAGTGTGGCATTACCATAGTCAAATCCGGTCAGGACGAGTGCCACCACGAGGGCCTCAAGGACAGGCCTCGAAAGACAGCGACTGGTGCTACGTATTCGTCGCAGAGCGCCAAAACAAGCGGTGGAATGTGATTGTTTATGTGATTGTTTATTGTATTGGCAATGTGATTGTTTATTGAAAGTTCCGAGTCCAGCAGAATGCCCAGGCGAACTGCGGACGCAGGCATGACGCACTCGCTGCCTGCGCGCCTGATGCTGGCGCCGTGCAGTCGCTAACCAAGTAAAGTCGGTTTTTGCTGCATTGTGCTGGAGCCGGCTGGAGTGCATCCAGTCTGAGACAGCGTCTGATATCTGACAACTTACGACGTTTGAACACTTACGATGTTTGACAACTTACGACGTCTGACAACTTACGAAGTCTGAACCCTTACGACATCTGACAATTTACGACGTTCGACAACTAACGACGTCTTACAACTTAGGACGTCTGGCAACTTACGACGTCTGACAACTTACGACGTCTGACAACTTATGACGTGTAACGACTTACGACGTCTAACAATTTAGGACGTCTTACAACTTGCGGCGTCTGACAACTTACGATGTCTAACGACTATGACGTCTAACAACTTACGACGTCTGACAACTTAAGACGTCTGACAACTTACGACGTCTAACAACTCACGACGTCTGACAACTTACGACGTCTGACAACTTACGACGTCTGACAACTTACGACGTCTAACGACTTACGACGTCTTACAACTTACGATGTTTAACAACTTACGACGTCTGACAACTTACGGCGTCTAACAACTTACGACGTCTGACAGCTTACGACGTCTGACAACTTACGACGTCTGGCAACTTACGACGTCCGAAATCTTACGTCTGCCAATTTACGACGTCTGACAACTTACGACGTCTGACAACTTACGACGTCTGACAACTTACGACGTCTGACAACTTACGACATCTGACAACTCACGACATCTGACAACCTACGTCGTCTGACAACTTACGACATCTCACAACATACGACAACTGGCAGTTCTCGATAACCTCGCAGGCTGTAATAATTGACGTTATTATCTGTGATAGGAATGTAGCTTCTAAGAGATGAATTACTGAGAAGACATTAGCGGCAACAATCACGGGTCGTTAAGGAGACAACAATCAGGCAATCAGTTGTCATTTGATTGGCAGTCATTAGCGTCAGCTGCGGCAGGGCTGCAGGTGCTGCTGGGTATATAAAGCAGCACCTGCTGCACCCCCGAGCTCAGTGCTGCACCCGCGACTGCGGTGAGTTGTAGTGATGGCCGTTCTTCCTTGATAATTACAGCTACATTTACACTATATAGAGTACATTAACGTATACAGCATATAAACTACATTAAAGTATATAGTATCTCTTTGTTCACTTATTGGTTTAGTGATAACTGAAGACAAGAACAATGATGACGCTAGAGCAGTATATTTCATAGTATCTTTTTACTCGCATATCTCTTTTATTTGCGTAACACGTATATTGCATAGCTCACTTTCACTTATTGTCTTACTAATTCTGATTTATGCCTTCAATGATGATTATTTTTGCAGAGAATAACTATTGCAGCAACTGAAGTGGTAACAAGTCAACAAGATGCGCGTGACGCTCTCCCTTGCAGCAGTGCTGCTAGCTGCAGCTGCTTGCTGCAATGCTGCAATCTCCTGGGGCCCGGCGGCTAAGAATCCAGGTAACTAGCAACTTAGATACTCACTCAGTCAGTTACTCATTAACCCAGTTACTCAGTTAATGTCACTCAGTTCCTTTATTAATCAGATGCTCAGTTACTCAGCAACTCTCGGATCATCTACCATGAATCTACGGTGATGTTACTCAGTTACTCTGAGCAACCCTGCATGACTTTACATTCAAAGACACTTTTTACACAAGGAGACACTTCTTGTCCTTGTGTCGGTCGTCATGACCCAGCTTAGTAAGAAGTAGGAACTCATTAGTAGGAACTAATTGAACTGATGATGACAATAAGGGTGCATCTTAGCGTATAAGTGCAAGAAGTTCGTCAATTATGAGACAATATGACTCATTTATTTTTCTCGATCTTAAGTAAATGCTGGTGCCTTGCAGCAGAGCAACTGCCCATCCATAATCTCCGTGCTGGTGAAGCTCGCAACATTGAACTTAAATGGCATATATGTTCACCATTTCCTTCGCTGTTAACCTCTTGTGTACGGATACTTTAACCTGCTTCAGTGCAATCCATACCACGGCGGTGAACGGAAGCTTTTAGAAAATTATTAAAAGCCCATTTCCCCTTTCGTCTCAAAACGAATTAATATAATTGTTACTTCATTGCAATGTTTCCCTACTACATGAATTACAGTTACCCACCCCCCCCCCCCCCCCCCCCCCCCCCCCCCCCCCCCCCCCCCCCCCCCCCCCCCCCCCCCCCCCCCCCCCCCCCCCCCCCCCCCCCCCCCCCCCCCCCCCCCCCCCCCCCCCCCCCCCCCCCCCCCCCCCCCCCCCCCCCCCCCCCCCCCCCCCCCCCCCCCCCCCCCCCCCCCCCCCCCCCCCCCCCCCCCCCCCCCCCCCCCCCCCCCCCCCCCCCCCCCCCCCCCCCCCCCCCCCCCCCCCCCCCCCCCCCCCCCCCCCCCCCCCCCCCCCCCCCCCCCCCCCCCCCCCCCCCCCCCCCCCCCCCCCCCCCCCCCCCCCCCCCCCCCCCCCCCCCCCCCCCCCCCCCCCCCCCCCCCCCCCCCCCCCCCCCCCCCCCCCCCCCCCCCCCCCCCCCCCCCCCCCCCCCCCCCCCCCCCCCCCCCCCCCCCCCCCCCCCCCCCCCCCCCCCCCCCCCCCCCCCCCCCCCCCCCCCCCCCCCCCCCCCCCCCCCCCCCCCCCCCCCCCCCCCCCCCCCCCCCCCCCCCCCCCCCCCCCCCCCCCCCCCCCCCCCCCCCCCCCCCCCCCCCCCCCCCCCCCCCCCCCCCCCCCCCCCCCCCCCCCCCCCCCCCCCCCCCCCCCCCCCCCCCCCCCCCCCCCCCCCCCCCCCCCCCCCCCCCCCCCCCCCCCCCCCCCCCCCCCCCCCCCCCCCCCCCCCCCCCCCCCCCCCCCCCCCCCCCCCCCCCCCCCCCCCCCCCCCCCCCCCCCCCCCCCCCCCCCCCCCCCCCCCCCCCCCCCCCCCCCCCCCCCCCCCCCCCCCCCCCCCCCCCCCCCCCCCCCCCCCCCCCCCCCCCCCCCCCCCCCCCCCCCCCCCCCCNCTCCTGCTCTACCCTCCTGCTCTACCCTCCTGCTCTACCCTCCTGCTCTACCCTCCTGTTCTACCCTCCTGCTCTACCCTCCTGTTCTACCCTCCTGCTCTACCCTCCTGCTCTACCCTCCTGCTCTACCCTCCTGCTCTACCCTCCTGCTCTACCCTCCTGTTCTACCCTCCTACTCTACCCTCCTGATCTACCCTCCTGCTCTACCCTCCAGCTCAACCCTCCTGCTCTACCCTCCTGCTCTACCCTCCTATTCTACCCTCCTACTCTACCCTCCTGCTCTACCTTCCTGCTCTACCCTCCTGCTCTACCCTCCTGCTCTACCCTCCTGCTCTACCCTCCTGCCCTACCCTCCTGCTCTACCCTCCGCTCTACCCTCCTGCTCTACCCTCCTGCTCTACCCTCCTGCTCTACCCTCCGGCTCAACCCTCCTGCTCTACCCTCCAGCTCTACCCTCCTGCTCTACCTCCTGCTCTACCCTCCTGCTCTACCTCCTGCTCTACCTTCCTGCTCTACCCTCCTGCTCTACCCTCCTGCTCTACCCTCCTGCTCAACCCACCTGCTCTACCCTCCAGCTCTACCCTCCTGCTCTACCTCCTGCTCTACCCTCCTGCTCTACCTCCTGCTCTACCCTCCTGCTCTACCTCAGTCTCTTATACACATCTAGATGTGTATAAGAGACAGCCTTACTTAACCCCAGATTCCATCAGCTATGTGCGGGATGGAACGGAAGACCTCAGGCGTTAAATTCAATAAAATAACCTGGTGTCCTATCCCTAACCTATCGTTAACACCTAACATGTCGTTAACCTGACAAGTCTCATACGACAGCGAAAAGGGCACACCGCGTCCTCGCGATAACCCGCGCGAACCGCGGCTCGAATTACAGAGGCCGAAAATCATGAACAATCGAACAAATCATATAACCC